TCTTTGCAGTTACACCCCCTCGAGAAATGTCAGCTGAACACGTTTTACAAATCGCAATCCGCGCCTCTTTCTCTGATATTTTTAAATATCTCCAAGCGGCAGACATGTTGGCTGTGAGCCAGCCGCGAGCATGGTCGCGCGCCGTGCTTGTTGCCGCGTTTTGATTACGTCATCACAACAACACGTTAGCTTACCAACGTAACCCTGTTCTCTGACATTCGGTGATATTTTTTCGGTGCTAGAACCCTTTCGGCCAAAAGCCGAAAGGGCCTTTTTAATCATTTTCGGCCGATAATTTTCGGCGGCCGAATATTCGGTGCATCCCTAATATTTAGGTCTGGTCGGGGACTTGAACCGACGACCCTACGGCTCCCAGTCCAAGCCCCTACTGACTGAGCCACTGCCGGACTAAATTAAATTACATATATATTATGTAACATGTATTACTTCACCATAATAAATATGTTAATGGTATATGTGTATTTTGTTCCCTGAATACCAGATAAGTGTAGTTAGCTACATTCCAGCATGTTGTAAATAGTACCACTGCATTCCTCATCCTTGAAAATGTAGGATTAGCCACCAGAATCAAGTTCCTAGGTGGTCTAGATCCTAAGCTACTGGTAAAATAACAACCAATGGACAAATATGCGATGGCCCATAGCCAGAAATCTTCCTTAGGGCATGCTCTAACAGTGTGCCAAATGTCATGTTTTTATCATCAAAAGCACAATTCATTCAGATGTTTCACATATCTGCTGGACTATAACTCTTCCTCAAGAGCGAAAACCATCGTCTGGAGGCTTTTGGTGTCATCCTAGATGAGACCATAACCAACATCCCACGCTTTTTGAGACAAATATGCAACTGCGTGTGTTAATAATTGCACATTTTCACTGCTCATATATATAAGGGTTCGGGTCGGGTTGCGGATCTTGTGCCGACGGGTCGGGTTGGGTTGCGGAACTAATTGGCAATATGTGCGGGTAGCGGGGCGGGTTCGGTATTGCACGTCGCGGGTGCAGGGCGGGAGCGGGTCTTGAAAATCAGACCCGTGCAGGACTCTGGTTCGGGTTAGAAACATATTTTTATTCAAACAAGAAAAAGTATTATTAGAAATGTTTGATCACAGAAAAATTACAGAACGTTTTTAATTAGCTTATTTTATTCAGCGTGTAGACGAGGCGGTTTAATCCATTTACCCACAATGCATTGTTGTATACAGTAATTCAAAAACATCAACATATAAATCTGAAGGTAAATAATCAGAAAACATTTAACATATTCTAACAGTGCACCACGTTATGAACTCACAGTGCATCGTCTGACCACTAATGTGCAAACATCACTAAAACTGGAGAGAAGTTCAGACGTTTCGACCAAAAACTGAAATAAATGTGCAGAATTAAATTACATTTTCACCAACAAACACAAGAAGTGATTTATAAAAAGAAAACATCAGATTTCTGATGTTTAAAGGAAACGATCGGCAGCTCTTTGTGTCGTCCGTACTTTCAGAAAGTGCATTTTTACAGTTAATGTGTAATTTAGTAACACGTCCTACGGTTTCCTGAATAATCTGGATTTCTGTCTTCCTCTCTTTCTTCTGGATTAATACATAAATACCTTTTTCCAGATTTAGCAATATTGGCAAAATGTCATTAAGTGTTCGAGACACGTGACGTTCCTTATTTTAATCTGTACTACGTTAACGTCATCAAGTGTGTTGGCAACGCATAAATAACGTCATATACGTTTCTAATACTTCTAAACGCCATGTATGTTAGTCACATGTTTCTGATTGGTCACTTTAATCCGTAACACGTCAGAGTCGTCCTGTTGGCAACGTGAACATTTTCTCATATAAAACTCTATCTTCGTGTCCGAGCAGCACGGACACTTCATCATGATTGTTAGGAGACATGAAATACATGGTATATAAATCCGTCTTTTGTAAACTTTGTCCCAAATGTAAATCACATAATCATCAGTTCATATCTCAGTCGTTCTGTGTTGTGCTTTTGAGTCGAGGTTCAATGAAGATGATCCTTTATTAAAGCCTGATCCTCAGCTGGTGTAAGAACGGGTTTATTAATACAAATAACGGTCATATTATCGTCTTGTAAACGTTCCTGTGTCAATAATCACAGTTTCAGTTTTTTTTTACAGTGTTTAGACATTATTGCTTATTCTCTCGTCACGCTGTGAAATATTAAATATTAAACTCCCTGATTTCTGCAGCTGGTGAAACACAGACACGTTGGGAACTAAAGGAAGACATCATATATATTATAAAGACTAATAATCATTGCTGTAGGAAAGATTGTGCTCTTCAGTGCTTTTGTCCTTTAAAAAAATCTCCTTCGTACAAATGTTGACATCGTAGCTTTGAAAAAAGTCTTAAAACCACACAATATCTTTTTTTATTTCCTGAACCTGAATATCTGTGAGGAAGACTTTGTGTCTGAGATCACAGACGGGGAGCGCCTCCTTAAACATTTAGTAAATTAAGAGAGACTCAAAGAGGGGAAATCAGGGGGGGTTAGTGCAGAGAGGAGACCCCCGCAGGACCTGAAGTCTGCTCCTGAATTACAGGAAGAGGCCATCGTCCAATCAGCTGTTAGACGCAGGATTGTGAGGACACACACTCTGTTCTCACTTCACGTCTTCATGTCGTTGTGGAGATATCCAAAGTCCTGTTTTTTGTAACGATCAGATGTGAAATGAAAACAGACGGTGTGATCCTGATGGCGGGGATTTGTTGTTTTCATGATGGTTTGTCTTTGCTTAACAGCCAATCAGAGAGCTTTATTTGATCGGAGGTCGGTACAACCCGTAGAAACAACATTGGCGCTTATCGGCGTCTCTCACAGCTGATCAAGGGTCTTTGAGCATGTTTGTCTATGTTGATGTTACACATGGAGCTGCTGTGATGCAAGTGGCATTTCAGACTTGATCTGACCACTAAAGTATTATCGGATCGGATCGTAGCATCAGCTCGGGGTATCGGGGGGCTCTGGATTACGGAGGAAAACCCTGAGGAGTACAATTTAGAGCTTTTATTGAGACGCTGCTACACTGAGATCCAGAGAAGGTGTATCTGAGGAGGGGTCTCATGGTGTCTCAGACCCTTCGTCCTCGGGGGAGGTGGGTGATGCCGGCGTCTCCTCCCCTTCCTCCTTCTTCCTCTCCATCTTCTCGTAGGTTTTCCTGCGCTGGCGCCTCAGCGTCTGGCTCTGCAGCTCCTTCACCTCCTGCAGGATCTGCTGCGCCTCCTGCCACGACGACACGGCTTCCTCCAGCAGACGCTCCGCCTCGTCGCGCCTCCTCCCCACCTCCACGTCCTCCTCTGGGGGGGAGGAGGGGGAGGAGAGGAGGGGACACTCCTCCTGGCTCCCCCGCCGAGGGGAGGTGCCCCCCTGGGGCGAATCTGACCCTTCAACCCGGGGGGAGTCGGGAGGGGAATCAGAATCAGCAGGGTCGTCCTCCTTGTTGGAGCTCGAAGACAGTTTGAGTCGTGCTGCCTCGGAGACGGTGAGGCGTTTGGGGGAGTCGCCGGGTTTGGGGGAGTCGCCGGGTTTGGGGGAGTCGCTGGGTTTGGGGGAGTCGCTGGTTTTGGGGGAATCGCTAGGTTTTGGGAAGTTGCTGGTTTTGGGTGAGTCGCTGGATCCTCTAGAGCGAGGCGAGTCCGTCCCTTTGGATCGGTTCTTCTTGGCTTTGGACCGAGGAGACTCCCTCCCCCTCAGACGGGGAGAATCTCTCCCCCGGAAACGAGGGGAGTCGCTACTCCTGCTGCGAGGAGAACCAGACGATTTACTGAGGAGAGAAAAAGAAACGGGTTTAACGTCTACATCATAACATCAGGGAGGAGGAACCAGATCTGAGGTTAACACAATACCTACCAGCGATGTGCGGTCAGTGGAGGCAGAGCCTCACCTGCCATACTCCAATGTAACGGGAAAACAACTAAAGAAAAACTAAATAGTAATAATAATAAAATGTCTCCACTGATCTATGATGTAAGTGTGCTTTAGGTATGATTCCAATCGCTTTTTAAAGTCAAAATCAGCAAATTTGTCGAGCTCCGCTACAACTACAGGTAGCGATGAGAAGTGAGGCAGGGACGAGCTCTGCCTCTCGTAAGCCCACAGTAACTTGCTGGAGCACGGGCACTAATTTAACGCGGGCACTTATTTTGTGAGCGCGCTCAAGCCAGTTACTGTGGGGTGAGGTGAGGCACAGATGAGCTCTGCCTCACCTCAGAATGCGTCACCCCACAGAAACTGGCTGGAAAGCGGGCCCTAAGCTCATGCCTGTTAAAATCTCACTGTAGGTCACCAATGTAATGTTTGTAGATCCCTTTATTACATTTATCCTGGCCATCCATAGTCTCTAAATAACTTATTTAACGTATATATGATATTTAGGCTCGCTGGTCTCATCATACAACGGCAATGAAAAAAGCAGCAGGAGAGGCAGCCATAACCTCTGCCGCACTGAAGGGGGCCCACGTGAGCCCTCAGGTTCTTGTTGCTACTGTTATTCTACGCAGAGACGGTAGACACAAACAACAAACTAGACTTTTGAAACTACAGGAAGATAAGGAGGACTTTTACAAAAAACTAATAGAGATTGTTGTCCAGAAGGAGAGCATGGACTTAATCTTCAAGTCAAGGTAAGACCACAATTGTAATGAAAATGGGATCTTACTAAGAAAGAACAATCCAATAGTTAGATGTTGGGTATCCTTTTGTTGAACGGTCTGTTTAAAATGAATCAAAGCATCAGACTAAAAAACCCTTTTGAAAATAACCGAATATTTCGATTAAGGTCAAAATATAATATTTGTAAATCTGAAAGAGTCAGTGCCTCACCAGCCATGAACCTCACCGCACGTCACTGCTTACCAGGCATGCTAAATGATCAAATACAGGCTGGACCATACAGTATAATAAGGCATCAGGCTTCAAACATGGCTTAATCTTAATTACCCAACAGGTATGCTAGAGAGTAGCAGCAGGAGAAGATCAGGCACTGTTTCCAGACTGACCGATCACCTCATACATTG